AGGGGGGTCTAGTTTTTTAGGGGAGGTCGATTCATAAGAGATTTGGAATAACGGGGGCTCCACTAACGGTCACTTTGGCCAATGACCCAGCGAACCCAACCCTTCCCGATGTGGGCCACGCTGCAATGCCCGAAAGAGGCCCGACAGTGGCAACCGTCGGCAAACTTTCAAAGTACCCGTTACGAAATACCCGTTACGGTGCTGTGGATGCTCGAAGTTGCAGCTTGTCCCGGAAGCGTTTTTTCCGACTCGACCCCAATACTCTTGCCGCAAGCCTGTCCGCAGCTCCTGCGCAACCCCCTTCCCGAGCTCCTTCGAAGCTCCCTTCTCGAGCCTGCTCGGGTGTTGCAGGAAGTCCCCCTGGCCCAAGGTACCCCCAGGATTCTCAGGGTGGCCCAGACGGCCTCCAGGGCACCCCTCACGAGGGCCAGAGGGCCCCAGGGGCTCCACAATGGAGCGAGAAAAGCTAGGGGAACTTTTGGCCAGGGGCACTTCTAGCAACACCCGACCCGCAAGTTTAACCCAGGCACTCCCGGAGAGCGCGTGGAGTGGCCCCTGGGCGTTCCACGAAGACAAAAAGGCGCGGCGACCTGTCGACGGCCAGGCCCGGCCCGCCTGGTGACGCAGGGCTGCTGGCGATAGAAAGGCCTAGCGAAGAGAGCGCAGAAGTGTGTGATGAAGACGGCGATCATGATGATGATGACGACGACGATGATGATGATGATGATGCTGATGCTGATGCTGATGACGATGACGATGATGATAATGATGCTGATGACGATAATGATGATGAGGACGATGATGATGATGATGAGGATGATGGTGATGATGATGGTGATGTTGATAATAACGACGATGAGGATGCTGATGATGACGGTGGTGATGATGCTGCTTATGCTGATGATGACGACGATGATGATGATGATGCTGGTGATGATGCTGACGATGCCGATGATACCGACTACGACGATGATGTTGGTGTTGCTGTTGTTGGTGGTAACGGTAAGTGTGATGATGATGCAGATGAAGATGAAGATGCAGATGAAGATGCAGATGATGATGTTATTGCTGATGTTCGTAATGATGATGGTGGCAAGGATGACGATGATGGTGATGGCGATGGTGGTAGCGATGATGCTGGTGGCAATGCTGACTCTGATGATGGTGGTGATGGTGACGATGATGAGGATGTTGTTGCTGTTGCTGTTGCTGATGATGATGCTGATGCTGCTGCTGCTGCTGATGCTGATGCTGATGCTGATGCTGCTGCTGCTGCTGCTGATGATGATGATGATGATGATGATGATGTTGATGATGATGATGATGATGATGATGATGATGATGATGATGATGATGATGATGATGATGATGATGATGATGATGATGATGATGAAGGACACATAAGGTCGTGCACAAAGAACAGACTCTGCATCTCGTGGGCGCCCAAACAGGTTGGCAACATGCACGACGCTGGTAACCGATGGGGGAGGAACCAAGGATAAACGAGAAACAAAAACGGGACGCTCGACCTAATGAAGAAACATGCCCCCTCCCGCGGCGCGGCATCCGCACTGGCAGGAGGGTGTGCCTTGCCGATGCCTGGCAGGCGTCGGCCACGCACTACACACGCTTTCAAATATAACTGGAGCAACGAAGGGACCCAGCTTTTGCACAGGCTGACCTACGCCTGAGGACCAGAAGGTCGATGGTGCTGTCACTGCATTGGGGAAAAGGCGTGGCGGACTCTCGGCGCGAGCAAATTAACCTGGCGACGTACCCAACCCCTGCGCAATGCGGGGCATGAATAGCTTGGGAGGCGTCATACGGAGGTGATGACGTGGCATGGGCGCATATACTTCTGCGAACGGCATTCGTGAGGCTCGCAACCCCCCAAGGATTGCGATGTCCCGCTCAGATCTGTCTGGTGCCTCGCTCCGCTGGGCCCACCAGCAGCCCTCGAAAATGGCGACAATTTCGCAGATCGCAGCCCCCCAGGGACTGCGAGGTCCCGCTCAGGTCCGCGCGGCGCCTCACTTCGCAGGGCCCATCAGCAGCCCTCGAAAGTGGCGACCGTTTCGCAGATCGCAGCCCTCCAGGGACGGCGAGGTCCCGCTCGGGTCCGCGCGGTGCCTCACTCCGCAGGACCCACCAGCAGCCCTCGAAAGTGGCGACGGTTTCGCAGATCGCAGCCCCCCAGGGACGGCGAGGTCCCGCTCAGGCCCGCGCGGCGCCTCACTCCGCAGGACCCACCAGCAGCCCTCGAAAGTGGCGACCGTTTCGCAGATCGCAGCCCTCCAAGGGCGGCGAGGTCCCGCTCAGGTCCGCGCGGTGCCTCACTCCGCAGGACCCACCAACAGCCCTCGAAAGTGGCGACCGTTTCGCAGATCGCAGCACTCAAGGGACGGCGAGGTCCCGCTCAGGTCCGCGCGGTGCCTCACTCCGCAGGACCCACCAGCAGCCCTCGAAAGTGGCGACAGCTTCGCCGATCGCAGCCCCCCAGGACGGCGAGGTCCCGCTCAGGTCCGCAGGTGCCTCACTCCGCAGGGCCCACCAGCAGCCCTCGAAAGTGGCGACGGTTTCGCAGATCGCAGCCCCCCAGGGACGGCGAGGTGCCGCTCAGGTCCGCGCGGTGCCTCACTCTGGAGGACACACCAGCAGCCCTCGAAAGTGGCGACGGTTTCGCAGATCGCAGCCCTCCAGGGACGGCGAGGTCCCGCTCAGGTCCGCGCGGTGCCTCACTCCGCAGGACCCACCAACAGCCCTCGAAAGTGGCGACCGTTTCGCAGATCGCAGCACTCAAGGGACGGCGAGGTCCCGCTCGGGTCCGCGCGGTGCCTCACTCCGCAGGACCCACCAACAGCCCTCGAAAGTGGCGACAGTTTCGTCCGCGCGGTGCCTCACCCCGCAGGACCCACCAGCAGCCCTCGAAAATGGCTACAATTTCGCAAACCGCAGCCCCCCAGGGACGGCGAGGTCCCGCTCAGGTACGCGCGGTGCCTCACTCCGCAGGACCCACCAGCAGCCCTCGAAAGTGGCGACAGTTTCGCAAATCGCAGCCCCCCAAGGACGGCGAGGTCCCGCTCAGGCCCGCGCGGTGCCTCAGTCCGCAGCGCCCACCAGCAGCCATCGAACGTGGCGACGGTTTCGCAGATCGCAGCCCCCCAGGGACGGCGAGGTCCCGCTCAGATCCGCGCGGCGTCTCACTCCGCAGGACCCACCAGCAGCCCTCGAAAGTGGCGACGGTTTCGCAAATCGCACCCCCCCAGGGACGGCGAGGTCCCGCCCAGGTCCGCGCGGCGCCTCACTCCGCAGGACCCACCAGCAGCCCTCGAAAGTGGCGACAATTTCGCAGATCGCAGCCCCCCAGGGACGGCGAAGTCCCGCTCAGGTCCGCGCGGTGCCCCACTCCGCAGGACCCACCAGCAGCCCTCGAAAGTGGCGACAATTTCGCAAATCGCAGCCCACCAAGGACGGCGAGGTCCCGCTCAGGTCCGCGCGGTGCCTCACTCCGCAGGACCCACCAGCAGCCCTCGAAAGTGGCGACGGTTTCGCAAATCGCACCCCCCCCCAAGGGACGGCGAAGTCCCGCTCAGGTCCGCGCGGCGTCTCACTCCGCAGGACCCACCAGCAGCCCTCGAATGTGGCGACAGTTTGGCAGATCGCAGCCCCCCAGCGACGGCGAAGAGGGAGGCGGGAGGCGGGAGGAGGAGAATAATGAGAGACGCGACCACACCCCTCTATTCAAAACGAATACCCAACCAAGGAGGGTTGGGAAAAAGCTGTGGTCCGAAAGGGGAACTCAGAACGCAGCGTTTGACACACCTTTCCCTGTAGCGCATGCGTTCCCCCAGCATAGACAATCCAAGGGGGAGCCGTCAGGCGTATAGTTCTGAACGGCCTGCACAAACAAACTCTCCTTCCTCCATTCAGGGGAACAGGTAATCGCGAGGACGTTCCAGGCATCATGCTGGAGTCTGTGATATCTGGCGCGAAGGGTATCGACTACTCGAGAACGGAAGGCAACCCGAAGCATGGCAGCTTGATTTCCAACGCAACAGGCCGAGGAGAAAAAAGGAAAACACAGGCAATCGAGGTTCATCAACAGCTCGGACGGGTGGCAGGCTGTAGTGTTAGGTCGGGCATGTCCCCCCCCCCACATGGGGATTTTGGAGGACAAATCAGAAGCTACCCCAACAATATTCATAAAACCTCGTCCCCAGACTATGTGTGGACCATGTTTTGAATTCTCCTCCTGTAGAGGGACAGGCCCGACTTAACTGTAGTGCGAACAAGCAACAAGCTGATCGGGCCTGAAGCCCGTCCACTGCGGCGCTAAACATCTTAGACGGTTCGCAACTCAGCTGCGTAACAAACGTAAAAAGGGAGAACGCAAGGGAAATGTACGCGGACACACTGTATGCGTACATACTTTGGCTGAGTTCGAAGCGGGAAGATCGAACGTGCTGCACGGTCCCTTGGCACTTCTGAGCGGGCGCCTCCCAGTCCTCAGGGTGCCCTTCAGGTCCCATGGAGACTCCCAAGACTGTCCCACATGTGCTGTGCTGAAAGCTTCGAACATTACGACGATCACGACGAACGAGGGCCTGGTGTTCTTCATCCGTGCGATCGTTCACGTGCACGATCACACACTCCCAAAAACTGAGCAGCAAGGCCATGCACTGGCTGGCACGGACGACGGTCTTCAAGAACTCCCGCACGGCTGAGCAAAGATGAGCAGCTGGAATCCGAATGTCGTCGGCGAAGTCCCACGGGGTGGCGGCTCGGGGTATCGGACGATGATGATGATGCTGATGATGATGATGATGATGATGATGCTGATGCTGATGATGATGACGATGATGATGATGATGAGGATGGTGATGCTAATGCTACTGCTGGTGATGCTGATGACGATGATGATGCTGATGCTGATGCTGATGATGATGATGGTAATGATCATGATGCTGCTGATGGTGATGATGATGATGATGGTGGTGATGATGATGATTGCCAATTTTGCCTGGATGTATCTGTGTGGTGTCTTCACGGTGAGATCGCGACTGGTACAAACTGAGATTTGTGCTCGATGTGTGACTTTCATGGCATGCTGGTCTGAACACCACAAGATCGCATTCGTCAAACATCAATCCGGACATCACCTGGGCACGATCAGGAAATCAATCCGATAATCCATCGAGACGCCTATCGAGACACCAATCGGGACACAATTTCGACCATGAACGGGAAATGATAATACAGCAATCGGGACACCATCGGAGCCGCATAGAAACCTACCAAACTGCGTGCTTCGTGCGCGCCCGCTTCTAATAATACCAAGCGCAGGTCACGAAGTCCTTTGGTGACCTACTTTCGCGCCGCGCGAATGGGCCGAGTCAAAATCATGTCCAAGAGTGGAGGACAACAACATCAAATCGGGTCTTGGAGAACACCCAGGGCGCAGCCGATGGCTTTTGCTGTGCCCCATCCGAGTCATCTGGATGATGAAAAAAAAGCCAGCGAGCGTTGCCACTGCGTGGCCTAGAGACAAAGATCCTGCCTGCGTGCTGCTGGGAGGCACCCAGCCAAGTGCCAAAGCGGAGACATACATATCCACACAAAGAACTGAGACTCATGCAAAAACTGTTGAAATGAAATTTTAAACCGTGGAACGCGATCTTGCCGCGTGCGAGGCGCAGCAAAAGGAGGGGAACGACAGCATCGAAGGATGTCGCACTGCCAGTAACCACCCATACACACAGCTGTTGCAGCCCTGCCCTGGGTCCCTGGGGAGCGGTGGATGTGGATACAATGGCGACCTCGGGGGTGGGCAGATACTCTGGATACCACCTCTCGAGAGGTCCTCGAGGATACCCTGGGGCACGCTTCCGAGGCGGCCCATCCTGGCGCCGGCGGATGAGGACCCAGACCCCCAACGTCATGATTTTTTCATGATGCGACCCCCAGAGGTCTGGGCCCATTCCCCAGGACGGGCTTTCCATCCCGAGTCGTTTTTCGACTGCCCCGAGGCCCGGTGAGGGCCCCCAGAGGCCGAAAACAGCGAGAAACCTCCCGTCGTGATTTTTTCACGACCCGAAGGGGTCTGGGGAGAGGTAGAGGGCGACGAGTCTCGGAGCAGGGCGCGCTGAGACAACGGCAGCTCAGCATCGGTCCCCGGACCCCTCCCGGGCTCCAGACGCGCCGGCTTCCTGAGCTGCATGCAGCCGTGGCGACGAGGGGGGCCCTCGAAGGCCAGCTACGGGTGTCTCAACTCGGCCTCCTCTGAGAGGATGAGGTGGAGGGGACCAAGTCTGGGGAGATCGAAAGATACCGATGGTGGGCTTGTTTTCCACCACCACCACCACCATAAGCTGGAGAGGGGAAGGAGGAGGAGGAGGTGGAGGAAGACGAAAAGGAGGAGAAGGAAGAGGAGGAGGTAGAGGAGGACCCCTCCCCCTCCAACTTATGGTGGTGGTGGTGGAAAACAGGCCCATCAACCGATACTGCTACTCCAAGGACCTCTTCTGGGGTGCGTTCTGGCCCACATCTCGAGGCGAGTCCGGCCGTGGCGACGAGGGCCTCCCAGGAGGCAAAGACACGTGAGAGCGAGGAAAGGGCAGCGGTATTGGCACCTTTCGACTTCACGCGATAGTGACCCTGGGCAAGAGTAGCCTTTGGCGCGCGACTCTCGGGGGCCGTGGGGAGGCCAAACCCGAGCGCGCAAGACTCTGCTGTCGCATCGCGTTCAGCCCTCTGGGGACCCCAGTGTGCCTGCACCGAAGTCCGGCGAAATGTCATGAGAAGGAGGAGGGGGAGGAGAAGGAGGAGGAGGAGGAGCAGGAGCAGGAGCAGGAGCAGGAGGCGGAGGTGCGAAGGAGGAGGAGGAGGAGGAGGAGGAAGGAGGAAGAGGAGGAGGAGGAAGGAGGAAGAGGACGAGGAGGAGGGAGGAGGAGGAGGAAGGAGGAGAAGGAGGAGGAGCAGGATGACTCTCACGTGCAGCCGAACCTTCTCCTCCTCTGAGTCTGCTGGCGGCCCCAGCCCCCTCACGACGGCACGGCCGCCCCGGGCGCGGGCGCGGCGCCAGGCCGGCAGCACCGCGCGCAGGCGCGGTGCGCGCCGGCCTTCGGGGGCCAGCGCCCGCCCGACAGGGGCTCCTCCAGGTGGACGCGGAAGGGCGAGCACCCTCCGCAGATGCACCTGCCGCACTGGCGGCAGTGGTGGCGGCGAGCGAGGAGCGTGAACCTGAGAGAGAGCCAACACATATTGAGCAGGGGCCGGCCGTCCCGGCATTCCGGTAGACCACGACGTGTGCTAAGAGCCCAGGCATGTTCTGATAACAAAAGCAGTGTGCTTGGAACGTAGGCCGATGTGCTAAAACAAGGCAGCCCCAGGCTGAAATGTTCTAAGAACATTTCGGGGGAGCCACATCAGATTATTAGAACATTGTTTGGTAGGCCTATAGGCACGCCTGGACGCTTCGCCACTGCTTGAAAATACGGTGAGGCTTCGGGCTGGCCTCGGCAAGCCCTGCGAGCAACTCTCAGCGGGCCTCAGCCCAGGGGTGCTGCCAGAGGCGGCGCCAAGGTGCTTAGACCGCCCCGGGCTGCTCGTGGGGCATGCTGAGGCCAGCTGGGAATTACTCGTGACGCCCTTGGAGGCCAGCTGGGGGTAGATGGAGGGGAGATGTTAAAACGCGGCCCGAAGCCTTCAGCAAACCTATCAGCCAACGCAGACACTCTCTGTCGAGATGTATGTCTGTGTATATATATATATGTGTGTGTATAACTGCCAATCTGGTGTGGACTGGTGTGGGCTGAAGTAGGTTGGACACATGTAGTTGATTGGGCTGGACTGGGGTGGGCTCTACTCATCTCTAATTCACTCGAATCTAACCATCTCTATTCTGCCAAGTGCCCCACACAGCCGCAGAGCACACTATTCTAATATGCCCTGCTCTCCTCTACCCCACTCTAGTCCACTCTACTAGATGTCCCCTGCCCTACCCAACTCCAATTCTGGAACACCCCTACTCGACCCCTGGTCTGTTCTACTCTGGTATACTCTCCCTATTCTACCCTGCTTTACTCTACTCTACCCTGCTGTAGTATATTCTGTTAATGGACTCTACTCTACCATCTACACTATTCAATTCTTCTCTACTTTACCTTGCCCTACTCCACTCTACCCAACCCTACTCTATCCTACTCCATTCTTTCCATTCCCTATTCCACGCCTGTTCTACTCGACGACCCTACATTACTCTACTCTCCTCTACTCTCCTCCGATCTGTTCAGATCTAAGATGCTCTGCTCCATTCGATGCTGCTCCAATATGCCCACTTACTGTTTTCTATTCTGATATACCCTGCTCAGCTCGAGTCTACTCTAGCCGACTCTACTCCAACCTACGATTTGTCCTACACTACTGAGCGCAATCCATACTTCTTATGATTCAGCACCCCCCACATCCCCACCTAGCCGGCCGATGGCAACCCCGCCGTCCTAACTGTCAAGAAACAATGCAAGCTCAACATTGTTCTCGCAAGCGTGTCGTCGAGTTGCGAAACGTGTAGCTGGAATCTGACGGAAAGAACATCGTTTGGGAGGCCCTAAGCGGGTGGCCGCGTCCTGCCTATCAAAAAAAAACGATACAAGTCAACGTTTTTCTCGTCAATATGGACTTTCTTGTCGTCGGCGCTGCGACAAGTGTAACAGTACTGGGACGCGGCGCACATCGCGCGCGGACGCCTGGCCAACCCTACGAGGGAACCCCCGTCCGACCTGTCAAAAAACACAACAACGTCGACGTTTTTCTTGCCAACGTGTGCGTTCTCCTCGTCGGCGCTGCGAATCACGTAGCGGGAACGGGACGCGGCGCACATCGCGCGGGGACGCCTGCTCGTCAACATGGGTTTTCTTGTCGTCGACGTTGCGGCCCGTCGGGTTGAGGAGCTGGGCGGGCGGCAAGTCAGAATGCCTCAAGCAAGTGCGGTTCAAGCAAGTGCCTCAGGAGACCCCCAAGAGGTCGAACAAAGGCGCCCAGGAGGTCCTGGGGGGGCAACACAAATATCGGTGTTCATGTGTTTGGAGGTTTGTGGGGTAAGCACCTATTTGTGTTGACAATGTTCCAACCCGGAAGATATATCCAAGAGGCCCTCAAGCGTATGCCAGAAAAGGTCCCAGGACGCCCCGCAAATTCCCAAGAAGCATTATCCTCTTCCTCCTCAGGTTATCCCTCCCTCCCTCTCTCTCCCCCCTCCTCCTCCTCCTCCTCCTCCTCCTCCTCCGCCTCCTCCTCCCCCTCCTCCATGCGCGGCAGGAGCGAAACGACTGGCGGTGCAACGCGCGTGGCTGGAATGAGACGCGGCGCACTTCGCGCGCTAGGCATGTTGCCGCCGACGATGCAACATGAGAGGCTGGAGCGGGGCGCGGCGTACATCGCCCGCGGTCTGGTTTCTCGTCGGCGTTGCCCAATACGCGGCAGGAATTGGACGAAGCTCATGTCGCGCGCTGAACGTCTAGACGCCCACGGTATAAGATGAGCGAGAGGCGTCGGACACGACGCGCTTGCTTCTTATGTTGTCGGGAGTGGACGGAGCCTTCTGTCATGTTCGAACTGGCTAACTTGACCCTACCCCACCCTACCCTCACCCACTCTAGTTCAGTCTACTCGTCCCTACTACACTCTGCTCTGCTCTTGCTCTTGCTCTACCCTGCTCTAGTCTACTCTGGTCTACTCTATTTTATTATACTCAACTCTACCCTAAGTCTGAGTCGCACAAGCACTGGGATGCCATTTAGATAGCCACAGGGTGCAGAAGGCACCATGCGGATATCAGTGGAAGCAATGCGGGTACAGAGGAAGCCACGAGGCCATCTGCAATGACGTGGACAGGAGTGGACTGAAGTAGACTGGACAGGAAGACTCGCGTGGACTTGCGTGGACTCGGGTCTACTGTACTCCAATCTGTTCTACTCGGTTATGACCGATTATACTCAAACATGTGCCCTACGTTGGTGCACTCAGCCCTACCCTACCCTACTCGGCCAAAACCCGCCCGACCCTGCTTTGGTCTGCTCTACTGTTCGCTACTCTATATTCAACCCGACGCTAGTGTGACGTCTACACTACATCCAGCTCTGGCGTACCCAACCCTACTCAACGTTCCTCTCCTCTACGCTACTGTACTCTAGTATTACGTCCTCCTATAGTTACCCTACTTCTACTCTACACTACTCTACTCTACTCTACCCGACTCTACTCTATTCGAATACGCTCGAATATACTCTATCCTACTCTACTCCACTGTGCTCTACTCTACTCGACTCTCGTCTACTGTACCCAGATCTGTTCTACTGTATTATACTCTGCTACGCGCAACTACCCAACTCTACTCTACAAGACTCTGCTCTCGCCGTACTCCACTCTACTCTAGTCTGTCCAGCTCTCATAGATCGTCTACTCTACTGTCTTACTCTGCTATACTCGGCCCGACTCTACTCTGCCCAGCCATGCCCTACCCTACTCTACTCTACTCCACTCTACTCTACTCTGCTCGCTCCTGCTCTACTTCACGCCGCCCCTGTCCTCTACTCTATTATAGTATGCCCTACTCTTCTCTGCTCTACTCGGACATGTTCCATTCTACTTACCGACCCTTCCCTGACTTATTATTACACTGCGCTACTGCTCCCTACTCTACTCTACTTTTTTCTGAGTTTAACGATTGTTCGGCGCTTGTTGGGACGCTGTTTGAATCCATAGGCAGCCATTGGAATTTCAGAGGAAGCCATGCGGATACAGAGGAAGTCATGCGGATACAGAGACAGCCATGCAGAGACAGAAGAAGCCATGCGGACAGCAGAAGAAACCATGCGGATATCGAGCACACCATTGCGAACGTTCGACCGTGTACAAGAGCAACCTTGGTGGGGGTTACATTGGCCCAATTCTCTACGCATTGCACTCCGCTACGGTACCACCCGGATCTCTCCCGGGGTGTGGTCTGGCAACCATGTCTAGGATAATCCAGACGTGAAGACTAAGGCTCCCGCAGCACAAGCAGCAGCATCGGCATATGTTCTGCTAACGGGGAGCATGTCGATCCCGATGTCTGCCTTTGGGGGGTTGTTGACTAGACCAAAAAAACTGGGGTCCCACCCGGGGATCTGCTTGAGTCACCGCGGGGGGTGTTAAGCGGATAGGGGGCAAATGAGTGGATAAGGATTAGACATGGCCTACCCTAACGTACACGTAGGGTGGAAGTGCCCTCTGCGGCTTAGGGGGAATAAGAATCTAATTTTTGGTCGCGGTCGCAAGCGAAGAGCGCAGGCGGCGACAGAAGCTGTCCGGGGCGCGGAAACAGACCTAATTAGCTGCAGGGCGCGGAACGGGCCGGCCGGGCCAGATAAGGATCTAAGCGAAGTGGGCTCCGCCCACTTAGGGCCAAGTGGACTCTGCCCACTTATCCGAATTAGCGAACCCACCCAACCTGTAACCCAATGATGAGCGAGGCTAGGCCAGATGCAACCCATCTTAGCATCCACATGTAATCCTTCATCCACTCAGCAGCCCCCGCGGTGATCCAAGCACGATGGGAAGGCGTCCATCCTCGGAAATCGCGCGTCCGGATAGCCCCCTGGGGGTGTATTCCAAAGTCCTCCCCTCTTCCGAGCGGCCTCTTTCTTTCGGGTGGCGCTCGAACATTCAATCGAGACCCATACTTGCGATGTCCTGATCGTTTCAATATGGAGCCCCCAGAACACCCGATCCTTTCCCCGGGATCGGTTTTTCATTCCGAGCCGTTTTTGACGGTCCTGGGGCTCGGTTTGGGCCCCCCAGAGTCGGGGAGACGTCAGACTCGGCTCGAGTTGGTCTGACGGGACCATGACGAACATGGCGAGACCCAGTCTGAAATCTGACGCAAGCTCCCACTGCAGACATCCCACGATAACTGGAGCGCAAAAACTCAAGACGCGCTCGTCAAAAAGCGGCGGCAAACCCAAGTTCCGGCTAACTCGAATCCTACGTTTCCCCGACAGGGGCCCAAACGGGCCAAAAACCTCCCATCCTGTTTTTAACAGGCGAGCGTTTTATTCTTCGGCGCTTCGACATGGGGCGGAAGGGGGGCGTAGGGGGGGGGGCCCGAACCTCTGCTTAATGCGACTGTTTGAAGGCAGTGCGTCCTCTGCGGAGACCCCACCTGCTTCAAACAGGCGCCCCAAACAGCCAAGGATCTCTTGCACGGGGGGGTGGGGGCCGTGGAGGGGGTGGGAGGGGGGAGGGGGGGGGCGAGGGCCCGCGCCGATCGGCAAAGCAATGAATCAGAAACAAACACCAGGCCCAGACACCCGACGTCATGATTTTTTCATGACGCGACACCCAGAGGCCCGGGCCCATTCCCCGGGGCCGGTTTTCATCTTGAGGCCTTTTTTGACGGCCCCGAGGCCCGGTGAGGGCCCCCAGAGGCCGAAGATAGCGAAAAACCTGCCGTGGTTTACACGTCGTTCATCTCTTATCGTGCTCATTTCTCATTGCGCTCGTCTCGAATTGTGCCTGGCCCCCTAGTGGCCAGGAAGAGACCCAGGATAGAACAATTAGACATGAAAGGATCTTGGCCCCCAAAAAGTCAAAGAACCTTGGAAGAATTCGAGATGCACAATGTTCACTTTTTCTTGACTCGAGGGGGTCTGGGGGGCGCGAGCATGTCTGGGGAACTCGCCTGCGAGGCTCCTCCCTGCGGGGGCCGCGGCTGAGGAGTCCAGGCCGCGAGGGGGCGGATGTGCACATGCCCCCCCCTCCTCCTCCTCCTCCTCCTCCTCCTCCTCCTCCCCCTCCTCCTCCTCCTCCTCCTCCTCCTCCTCCTCCTCCTCCTCCTCCTCCTCCTCCTCCTCCTCCTCCTCCTCCTCCTCCTCCTCCTCCTCCTCCTCCTCCTCCCCCTCTGGCAGTGCTGAGCGCCTTCGCTCGCAGCACTGGCAAGCGGGGCCCGACACGTGAAAACCTCGAGTTGTTGGGTACTTCTTTTTCTGGCGCTCGAAATTCTTCCTGGTGATCAAAGCAAAAATAGGTTGGAACATCATAAGACTATGTCTATGGTTATTAATTGTTTGGACTGATATAATTCGTCGTCATAATAGAAAACGCATTCATAATACAACTATCAGTGCGAGTCTAGTGATCAGTATTACCATCACTGTTATGGCTAACCTGAGTGTTCTTCTCGAACATTTCAGAATACAGCAACACCAAACAATCTACGGTTGGGAGCTTTTGCTTAGCGTGTCGCGGCGGCGGCCCCGAAGACACGCTGTGCCCTGCGAGCGGATCTCGGCGGCGAGCCTGGGGGGGAAGCGAGAAGGAGCAGGCCTTCTCGGAAGGCAGTCCCCCAGCCTTCTGAGAAGTTGTCAGAGCCTTCTCCGAACACACAGAACATCTCTCAGAGGGCGCGAGAGTTTCTGAGAAGTCCCGCCGCCTGCTGAGAAGGTCTTCTCACTCCTCCCCTCTCGCCCGCCGCCGATTATCGGAGGCCGTCAACCGAGGTGGGGAGCTCTTGCGCACCGTGCCGCGGCGCCGGCGACACGCCATGCCCTGCGAGCGGATAGCACGGCGCTGCTCTCCGCGGGGCGGGAGGCTCGGAGAGGCCTGGGGCGTTGACGCCTGGAGGCTGGGACGTGGATAGCCGGCCGCGCCGCAGCGTGGTGGGCCAGAACGGGCAGAGCGACACGCTATATCTAGGTCGGGCAGGTCCCCCTACAGGCAGACTTGGGGCGAAGGCTGTAGAGTAATCACACATCACAAGCGGCAAACAAAAAGAGTAGAAGAATCGTCGCCAGACGATTTTTTAAACATTTTTTGCATCTGCCTCCTGTAGAGGGACAGGCCCGACTTGACGCTCTATCCAAAAGTGCCCCACCGTACACGCACCTGCACGGCTCCCGGCTGTGCTCGTCCCAGGCCCAGGATCGGCCCGCACGCCCTCCCGAAGGCACGCCGATCCTGGGCCCAGGATCGGTCTGGCCAGGATCGGTGCAGGAGTGCAGCATTCGACCGGGCATGTCCCCCTACGGGCGGATCTTGGGCGAAAAGTTGTAAATCTAATCTGGTCAAAACTAGTACAACAATCATCCCCAAGCTTACTTCCTCCTGTAGAGGGGCATGCCTGACGTAAGTATAGCAGGTGCTCTTCGAGTCCTGCGAGGCGCTGGGGCGCTCCGCGCGGCCCCTCGCGCGGCTGCGGGACGAGGCGCCCTCGCGCGCGGACGCGGCCAGCCCCGTGGGCGCCCACAGCTGGCCGACCACGCCCTTCCTTGGCAGGAGGCCGCCGTCGCTGTCGTGAGACAGCTCCCGGACCTCGGCGCGATCGGCGTGCGCAGCCTGCTCCGGCCCATCTGCTTCCAGCCCCGCCGGCGCGCCCTCCTCGCTGGCGGCGCCGGCCGCCGCATGCAGCGCCGCCGGCTCGAGGTCGGGCCTGGGCTCGTCAAGCTCGGCCAGCTCCTTGACAGGCGCGGGGGTAGTACCCTCCTCGTTCTCTGCCGTGGCCTCCTCCTCCCCCTCCTCGACGAGGCTGACCATCGTGGGGGTCGTGATCAGCTCCATGGACGGCTTGGGCGGCTCCAACTCTTGAGCGAACTCGCCTGCGAGGTTCCTCCCCACAAGGCACTCGTCCGTGGCCTCGACGTCAATGACACTGGCCATGTCCATGTACACCTTCGCTTGGCTGGACGCACTGGATGCCACTGTAGGCGCTCTTGGCGAGGTCTGGGTCCACGTCTCCTTCGCCAACTGCGGCGCGCCATGCTGGAGGTACAGCTTCGCCATGTCTAGGGCCCTGAGGCCAGTTTCCACGGACGGGGCGTTGACAGCAAACTTTTCGGCCACCGCCCTCTCCACGGCATGCATCACCGCCGTACCGCGCGGCGTCACACAGGGCACGGCCCCAGCCATCCACGGGCCGTCCTTGACGCAGGCAGCCCTGAAGGTCTGCGCCAGGTGAAACCTGGACGCCTGCGACAGGGGCGGGTCGACAGCGCGCTTCCTCGGCGGGAAGACCTTGGCGTCCAGCGCGTCCTTCTTCCAGTCGTATGCGCTGTCCGGGACGTCGGCCATGTCGCTTTTCCGCCTCACCATCCTGGCGGGCGACGGCGGCGGCGTCACCGCGAGCTTTGCTTCTATGTTGCGCGCCACGTCGCGGACCTTGGGCGACAGCTCGGCCTCCTTCAGCAGGCGCGAGGCGGTGGAGGCGGTGCCAGAGTCGACGCCCAGGCTGCGGAGCAGCGCGAAGGGCGAGTCGTACTTGAGGAGGGACTCGACGAGCTGCTTGTCAGAGCACCCTTCTTGGCAGCAGAGGCCCTCCTCGATGTGGGGGATTGCCCGGAGCAGCCGGGCGAGCTCTGCGCGAGCCTGCATCGAGTGGGTGGGCCCCATCGGCACGGAGTGGGTGGGCTCCATCGGCATCCCATGTTGCATGGCCTTGGCCGGCACGACGCCGGGAGAGAGGCTGTGGGGCGGCGCTGGCTGCGGCCGGCCGCCCTCTGCACAAAGATGGGCTGGAGAGCTGGAGATACTTCCCACAAGCGGCTGGAGCCCAGGCCGCCCGAGACAGAGAGCCAACGGGAGCACGAGGAGGAGGGGGAAAAGGTCCGTGAACTGCTTCCAGGGAACCTCCAAGTGCAGCTGGGGCGCTCCCAGTTGCCTCCAAGGCCAGTTGCCCCAAGAGGTGCTTCCAGGAGGCGCATTCTCCACTGGTGAAGCGGAAGGAGGAGGAGGAGGAGGAGGAGGAGGAGGAGGAGGAGGAGGGGGAGGAGGAGGAGGAGGAGGAGGAGGAGGAGGAGGAGGAGGAAAGTGAGGAGTATGAGGAGGATGGGGATCCCCTAGAGACCCGAAGAACCCCCAAGACCAATGAGAGCCCCATCCAGCTTCCGAGAGCCTTCCCCCTTTTCGTCATCCTCCCTCCCTCCGCTCCCTTTCGTTCATGCCTCCGCCGTCTTTTCCTCATCCTCCTCTTCACTCCTCCTGCATCCCGCATCCCTCCCCGCTACTCCTCATCATCCTGGCTTCCCTTCCCCCTTTCTTCCGTCCCTCAGTCGACATCATGGCCTCAGGTCTCACGCGAAATGGTCAAGACGGCGTGGGGAAAACAAAGAACAGCTCACGGGCGTTCCCCCCATGCACACGACGGTGAAGGACACGAGTGGGCACCGACGCGGGAGGGCGGGAAGTGCCTGCGGGCAGCCCAGGAAAGGCACTTCGGAGGTGCCTGCGGGCGCATGGGAGAGGCACTTGGGAGGGGCCTGCGGGCAGCCCAGGAGAGGCACCTCGGAGGTGCACGCGTGGAAGTGCCTGCGGGCAGCCCAGGAAGGGGAGAGAACACATCAGCGCAGTGAGAAGAAATGGGTGGGAGGGGTGGGATGTCGCATATGGCGCGAGCGCACCTGGCTTGTCCCCCTCCCCTCTTCTACTTCCCTCAAAAGGTGGATCGCTGGCCTCGTGCTCCTCCCACGCCTCCAGGAACTTCGCAACGTGCTGGCGGGCGGGCGCTGTTCACGGCGGGCACTCCGCCAGGACGTCCCTCACCCTCCTCGCGCTCCCGGTAATCTTCCTACCTCCTCGTCCAATCATCCTCCGCGTCCTCTTCCTCCTCCTCCTCCTCCTCCTCCTTCTCGTCCGAGCCATCTCCCCCACTTTCCTACTCCTCCGCCCTTCCCTCCTTCGGCCTCCTCCTCCTCCTCCTCCTCCTCCTCCTCCTCCTCCCTATCCTCCTCACTATGTTCGTCGTCCTCCTCCTCCTGCTGCTCATCCTTCTCCTCTTCCTCCACCTCCTCCTCCTCCTCCTCCTCCTCCTCCTCCTCCTCCTCCTCCTCTTCTCTATCCTCCTCCACATCCTCCTACTTCTGCGACTCATCCGTCCGATCGTCATCCGAACTCTGACGCTGATCCTGATCCCCGTCCTCCTCCTTGTCGGCCACCTCCCCCTGCTCCGCTCCCCTCGTCCTCTAGCAAGCGGGGGGGGGGGGGGCGTGGGCCGAAGCAGAGCCATCCTTCCTCCTCTTCTCGCATGGCTCCTCCCCAACCTCCATCACAGGAATCATCGTCCCTCCTCCTGCTCCTCCTCATTTCTCTCCCCCTCCTTCCTCCCAGAGGAAACGCGCAGGAATGGAAAGCATCCGAAGCCCCCTACACCTACGAATGCCTGCCTGCATGCAAACACCTGCGCGACAACCTCCACTAAATAGTGAGCGTTGTCGTTTATGTTTTTATTCTGCGTTTCGACATTGGGTGGAAAGGGGGGGAGGGGGGGGTCCGACCCTCTGCGTAGTGCGACTGTTTGCGGCAGTGCGTCCTATGAGGGGAGATTTCCCCTGCCTGAAATAGGCAATAGGCGTCAAAAACAGCCAAGATCCACTCCACGGAGAGGGGGGGGCCGCGCCGATCGGCAAAACAATACATAAAAAACGATCACATAGCCGAAGATTTCTGGCCGGCTCAGGCCACCCCGAATCAGATCAAAACCAGCAGCGCGGGCTGGGGGCACTCCCCTCTGCAGCGTCCCGGCGGAGCACCGTGGTCGTGGCCCACGCCCACGCCTAGGGGGGCCCGCCGGCAGGCCACTCGGATACGGCAGTTTGCGCCGCGTCGACCCCGGCGTTGGCTCCTGACACCGCAGGGATCGTTCAAACTGGAACGATCGGCCCCTTCAACCGATTCTGGGCCACAGGTGGCGTTCAACCTTACACGTCTACGTGAAGGTCGCCGCTGGTCGACACGACGCGAACCTGCCGAAATTAGTCAAACGGTTTCACAAAATGTTGTACACCTGGAAATATGGTCAAGAGAATGACAAGTGAGGAAATCTAGGCCAGCTTCCCAGGAGTTTCTGAGAACAGACCTGGGCCACTGTCTGCGGTGAACGCTCGAGGGGCGAACGTGCCCAAGAAACTGGGCCAGGTTTCTTGCAACTTGGTTAGGAAACGCTGGCCCAGCTTTCCGAGAGGAGGCTTCTTAATCAGATGCTCGACCGTGGTCCAGCTGCGGGCGGGGCTGCAAGCGCGCGTGGTCCCGCGGCCGAACATGTGCTGAGCGGATGCGGTGCGGTTGCGTCCGAGGCCCCGGCGGCCCTCACTGCGCTTGCAGGCGCGGTTGCGGGCGCCCGCGGCCCCTCCGTTGCGTTGCACATCTGCCCAGCTGCGGGTGCGGCTGCGGGTGTCGCGAATGCGAATGCGGTTGCGAGCGAAGCGGCCCAACATGTGTTGCCCGGAACTGCTGTTGCGGGTGCAGTTGTCCAGGAACGCCCGTCAATCAAACGGTCGGTCAACCAGTCAGTCAGTGTGGCGGGCACCGAACTCCACGGTGCACCACCAGGAGCGACCACGAACACAGACGGAGGGGCAACTTGAGCCTCTGCCGGCAGAGCCGCCCCCCAGTCTGCGTCCCGCCGGTACCCGCCCATGGGCGTGCCGAGAGCGAGCCGGGCGAACCCGTTCTTGGAGCGCCCGCCCTCCCGGGGGAGAGCCTCCGAGGCCTCCCCGACCCCCACCCGGCTGCCGAGGCCCCTCCTCCGCTCTCACCCCAGGGCGCCCGGAGGGCCGCCTCAAAGCCAACGGATTGCGCTCGCGAGGACGACGACGACGACGACGACGACGACGACGACGACGACGACGACGACGACGACGACGACGACGACGACGACGACGACGACGATAGCGAAGGTGGCAGTGGCAGCGGCGGCCGACGACGGGGACGGCGGCGGCGACGGCGGCCACGGGCGGCGACGGGCGGCGACGGCAGTGGCGACGGCAGCGGCGACGACGCGGGCAACGGGCGGCGGCGGCGATCGACGCGGCCGCAACCGCGGCTTCCAGACGACGGCGGGCTGGCGGCCTGCCTCCTCGTGCTCGGCGCTCGCGGCGGCGCCGACACCCGTGTCGCCTTGGCAGGAGGGTCAGGGAAGAAGGGGGGCTATGCCTCGTGCGAGGAGGGGGCTCAAGGCTTGGGGATCGAGGTTCAAGGTTCAAGGTTTGGAGATCGAGGTTCAAGGCTCGACGATTCTGGAATTTCCTCGACCTCTTTGGGTCTCCTGGGGCCCAGGAGGGGCATCTCGCTGCCGCCGCTGGATGCTCCTCAGAAAATTCCAGCAAGAGAGCGCCCCTGAGAAGATCCGAAGAGGTCTCTGCGTCATTGCCCCCTTTCCTCTGTCTCCACCCCATGGGTCCAGGAATAGCGCCGCCTCCTGGAGATCGAGAAGCTGACCTCTCCTGTTCTGCGGAGGGCGGCGGCAGGCTGGCGGAAGCCAAGCGAGGGCGGCCCCGCCAGCCGAAGCCGGCGGAAGGTCGGGCGGAAGCCGGCGGCACCAAAAGACGCGCCCCTGTGCCATCGTTTGTGGACTCAGGGCTCTCTGCGAGCGGGCCTGCCGGCCCCCTTCGTCCAGCGCCCTTCCAAGAGAGAACCCCGAACGGGGAATGGAGGCAATCTTTGCCCCCCCGCGCCTGCCCGATCTTCGGCGAGCGCCCGAGGGCGCACCCGCGAGAGGACCCCTGGAGCCTCGAGGCCGCTGCGGGCGCCGGAGCGGCCAGGCCCGAAGCAGTCTGGCTGCGCCCAGCCCCGCCCCCCACACTCTCCGCCAGAAGCCCTGGCCAGCGGAGCCCCGCACCGTCCTGCTCGGCGCCCTTCCCCTCGGGGGTCTTCTGACCTGGGTCAACCCAGGACCCGGGTCATTCAGGCCTTGCAGAATCCTGCAAGATCCTGCACCCAAGCCCGGATCAACGCGAAAAATCCTGTAAGATCCTGTGGGATCCTGCGCCCAAGCCCGGGCCAGTGCGACCCTGGCCCTGCAGGGTCTTGCAACATCGGGCGCTCTGGCTAACCCCCGTTTACATTGACCCGTTTTCCGAATTCAGAAAACCGGTTTTTGAAGTGGTGCTTGAATTCAAAAACCGTTTTCAATTCAAAAACCCGTTCTTGAATTCAAAAAACGTTGTTTTACCCGCTCTTTGAATTCAAAACATGTTTTGGGCGAGATCAAAGATCAGTTTTTGGAATTCCAAAACCGATCTCGACCCCCCGCCGTGCTGGCAACAGCACCGAGCTCTGCTTGTGAGGTCCTAGCATGCGAAGGCGACAGACCGTGCGGAGAGCTCGGAGCCCCCAAGACCTCACCGCACCGTTCGCCACCGCACGGCTGTGGGACCTTGAGGGTGGGACCTTGAAGGGCCCCAGCCGTCAGATCCGCCCTCGAAGAGCGACCTGGGCCCCAAAAACCGCGCGGCCGCCGCGGATCGCCACGGACTCGCCACACGCCCCAGACCCCGACGCCATGCTGTTTTCATGACGCGACCCCCCAGGGGTCCGGACTCACTCCCCGGGACCGGCTTCTCATCCGGAGTCGCTGTGTGACGCTCCCGAGGCCCGGCGAGGGCCTCCAGGGGCCGAAAGTTGCGAGCACCTCCCGTCGT